AATGCTGTTATTGATTTAAGAGTTTGTAGATATTTGCATTAGAAATAAGACCAAAGCTGTAAGCCAGGCTGCTTTCACACCTAGACATTTGTTTGGGCATCTTGTGTGTTCGCCTCTGTTAGTTTGGTCAGTTTGGGCATCTGTGAACATCACAATCATGCTCAGATCCGCACAAAGAAGCAGGGAAAATGCTTCAAGAGGACCCTAAAACAAGACGGACCCGACCATTTAGGTTATACACGGCAAAAATTCTTTACTTTGTTTTTTTGTCTTGTTTCAAGTCCAAATATCTAAGAATTCTTAAATCAAGAAGAATTTTCAAGACAAGTAAAACATTTAGTCTTGTTTTCAGAAGTAATACTTCTTATTAAGAAGATTAAATTCAAAACTCAAAATTAAGTTTTTCCTTATGACAAGTTTTTTTCCGTTTGACATGAGATTATTTTACTTGTTTTAAGGAAAAACTCAATGTTGGCGTATTACTTCTGAAAACAAGACTATACGTTTTGCTTGCCAGGAAAATGCTTCTTGATATCAGAATTTGTAGATATTTGGACTAGAAACAAGAGGCTAATAGTATACAGATGAAAAGAGAATAGTGTAATCTGGATTTTGAAATCAACAAAAGTCATCTTTCAAAGATCTCCTACAGCAGCACCGAGCAATAGCCACGGCACAATCCACAAACCCCGGTCGGGTCCGGCAAATTTTCGGTTCCCCTTGAAACATCTCTGCTGTCGGCATGTGTTGTGTGTAAACGCAGGTGTGTTCTTGATTTGTTTGCATTGTGAGAGACAGCAGCAGTTTTTTTTTTATGTGTTTGTGTTGTGAGAGGGTGGCACGGTGGCTCAGTGATTAGTACTGTGGCCTCACAGCAAGAAGGTCGCTGGTTTGAGCCCTGTCTGGGTCAGTTGGCATTTCTGTGTGGAGTTTGCATGTTCTCCCTGTGTTGGCGCTATTAAAGAATTGATGAACTAAACTGGCCATATTGTATGAGTTTCCTATG